TAATACTGTGCAATGTGTACATACCGTTTTAATTTAAAAAAAATAATAACTTAAAAGTACCTTTCATTTGTTGTCTCTGTTAACGAATGCACTGATTTCTAGGTGAGGCAGCATTCTAAATTGAGATAATGCTCATTCTTGGGAGATCATATTTAGATGGTTAAATAAACAGACACGTTTAAAAATTATGCACTTCCCATACAATACAGATTTTATAAGAAAAAGTGTTTTGCAATTTATGTATGCTGCATGATAGCGGTCCTTTTTAATTTATTCTTGATAGTCACGTGGAAGAAAGGTACAGAACTTCCGTGATCAAAAAAACAATCATTTGCTCCTCTAAAGATTTCCATGGGGGCTGCCTACATGTTAGCAAGTATATATTCAGGAGTGGCAAGAATTAGAAGTTGTTTTTAAATGAAAGTTTAGATTCTCAGGGAATAGAATTAGACAGCACTTCAGTGACATGCGATAATCCTGTACTCCCTCAAAATCTCACAGATCGTATAGTGCTATTAGCATCTAAATATGAGTGGCATATATACTTGGACCGAATCTGGCTTGTTTTCCATTCTAAGCAAGATATGCATATTTCTTCTTTGGGAAATATGGAAAAAAATAAACTGCCTACCAAAGTTATGTAAACTTTTACCTTTGTTCTTTTTCGGGGGGGGGGGGGCTCCAAGTCAGTTTTTTATTACTGGCAACTGCCTGGACTAGTCTGTGTAGTTTTCTTTGTGTTATTTCAGAAGTGGTTTGGTCCAGGGGTGAAATGCTCCCAGTTCGGACTGGTTTGGCTGATCCAGTAGCAATGACAGGCGGTGGTTCAGAGAACTGATAGCGATGGCAGCTCAAGGCTCCGCCCACTCACCCGGTCGTTTTTTACCCTCTGTGCATGTGCAGAAGGGTTTGCGCATGCGCAGAGGGTTGGCGTGCGCATGTGATGCGCGCAGCGCGTGCGCTTCCAAATCGGTAGGGAAGGTAAGTAGATTTCACCCCTGGTTTGGGCCTTGTCTGCTTCTTGGGACTGAGAGAGTGACTGGCCCAAGTTCACTCAGCTGGCCTCGTGCTTAAAGCAGGATTAGAACTCATTTTAACCATGACACCAGTCTGGCTCTCTCACCTTTATTCTCTTATGTTAGTTTTATTCTTTTTTATTCATTTTTTATATGTATATTTTAATTATATATCGTATATAAAATCTATGACAGAAAGAACAGAAAGCAGTATTTTCACATCTACTTTTGCAGCAACTCAGAACGTATACGTAGTTGCAATTTAGAGCATATACAAAGACATATTTATAAATCCCAGACTATTTCTGAATAAATATACAAAAATGGGTGCTATACATTGCTTTCATGTGATAAAACCTGTATTTTGTGTGCAGAATGTTAGATTCAATTTCTTAGCAGCTGAAGCTAAAAAAAAAAAAGATTAATGTCCAGATTTGAATGACAAAATGCAATTCAAGATGCATACATTAACAGCTGTTTGGAACATCTTTTAAACTGTATGCATTTTTTGTCAAGAAGATGCTACAGCTATGGAGTGCAGCAACCTGCTTTCAATCATATTTTGCTCTTCAAATCCAGATCTCTGGCCAGCTCTATAGATTATGGCTGTGACAGAGGATAATTTAACTAAGAAGAACCCAGCCCATGGGAATTAGCTACGGTAATGCCTTTGTTGTGAACTGTGTACATTGAATAAATCATGAATGTTGTTTGAAAGCATGCTATAAATTTGGTTTCACGTCCAAACTTTTGGGGAATGTAATTTCCATAATTGTCAATTAGGATAGAGGGTTGGATGATGTGCTAATGGATTGTACAATATTATCCAGTCAAGAAATCTTTCTATAAAACAATTAGATACAATGTAATGAGAAAATTTCCAGACAAAGCTAAACTGTGGCCCATCTCCATTAATTCAGAGCACAGAACAATTCTAATAAAGAATAGTTCACAGCAGATGTAAATAACATTTGGTCTGCTATAAGACATCTTTGTTCAGCTAAATTGCTTTAAAATCTGACGTAGGGAGCATTCTCATGGCAGTTTATCTACAGAGGTGTTTTATTTTTGGCTCATTTATGCAGCACTCTACAATCTTTGGAACTGTCCTCTGAAATAGTACCATTATTAGCTCAATAAAACTACACTGCTAATGTATTTTTCTGCCTTGCATATTTCTGCATCATTTACTCAGCTACACTAAAACCATATTCAGTTAAAACAAGGGGCGGGGGGTAGAAAATTCAATAAATAAAACGATGGTGGAAAAAACGATCCCCGTGACGCTGGACAATACTTTGTAAGTGCATCAGCAGTTTCCATATGCTGAAAGATTATCTTTTATTTCTTCCTTGTAGTACAATCATAAAATATTCAGTGAGATACAACAGACTGACTGTGGACTAGATAATCATAAGTGCTGCTTATTCCAGTTCCCATTTTTTAAAAAAAAATCAGCTGTTGTCTGCTTCTCTGAGAGACATAGTGTTAAGAGCCCATAAGTAGCAAAGAATATGAAATATTTCTCCTTTTTAGCAGTCAGACAGGAGCAACAATAATTTGGCAAAAATCAAAAAACAAAACATGGCAAGTGTCATGTTGAGATGAAAGAGCAGCTAACTAGTTCTGACAGGTTACAAATAGGCAGTGAGATAAGGATTGATTAAGGATTTATTTCTTGAGATCAAATCATATGCTTCAGAAGCTTTATAAACAGTTTAGCTACATGTTTAATTCTGAGCTTTGCTCTGGATTGATTTTTTTTTTTAATTTTATTTATTTATTTATTAAATTTTTATACTGCCCTTCTCCCGAAGGATTCAGGGCGGTGAACAGCCAGGGTTAAAATACATCCAGTATGAAAATTAAAATAATTTAAAAAATAATTAAATCAATTTGGCTTCCCAGTTTTAAAACCCCTTACCCATAAAATTAATCAATTAAAATTTTAAGTCAGCCCGGCTCGCTGAAACAAGAAAGTCTTCAGAGCCCGGCGGAAAGTACGGAGGTCTGGGATCAGTCGTATCCCTGGGGGTAGTTCATTCCAGAGGGCGGGTGCCCCCAGAGAAGGCTCTCCCCCTGGGGGTCGCCAGTCGACATTGCTTGACTGACGACACCCTGAGGAGACCCACTCTGTGGGAGCGTATTGGCCGGTGGGAGGTTATCGGTGGCAGAAGGTGGTCTCGTAGATATCCAGGCCCTAAGCCATGGAGCACTTTAAAGGTGAGAACCAAAACCTTGAAGCACACCCGGAAGACCACCGGAAGCCAGTGCAGCTTGCGCAGGAGAGGTGTTACATGGGAGCGCCATGTCGCCCCCATAATCACCCATGCGGCTGCATTCTGGACCAGTTGGAGCCTCCGGGTGCTCCTCAAGGGGAGCCCCATGTAGAGAGCATTACAGTAGTCCAGGCGGGAAGTAACGAGAGCATGAGTGACCGTTCATAAGGAGTCCCGATCCAGGAAGGGGCACAACTGGCGTATCAGGCGAACCTGATAAAGAGCCCCCCTGGCCACAGCCGTCATATGCTCTTCTAAAGACAGCCGTGCATCCAGGAGGACGCCCAAGTTATGGGCCCTCTCTGTGGGGGCCAATGACTTGCCCCCAATAGCCAGCGATGGCACCAGCTGGCTATATCGGGACACCGGCAACCACAGCCACTCTGTCTTGGAGGGGTTGAGTCGGAGCCTCAGTGAGACAAAATGTACTGGAAAATGAATGCTTGGATTTGCAAACCTTGACGTAGATAACAATACAGCCAAAACAACTGCTCACAGGCACCAGATAATGCAGTGACCCCTGCCCATGCATTTTATCTAAGAAACTGCAATCATTTCAATACAATATATGACACTTTTGTTGTTCTTTGTAATTCACTGCATAACCTTGATGTAGTGGTTAAAGTGCCGACCTAGAAACCAGGAGATTTGAGTTCTAGTCTCATTTTAGGCATGAAAGCCTTTGGGTGACATTCTCTCTCAGCCCAACCCATCTCACAGGGTTGTTTTAGAGAAAACAGGAGTGGGAAGGAATATTATTTTGTGTTTTGTTGTATGTTTTGTTGCCTTGAGTTATTTGTAAAATAATAAAAGGGGGATAAAAACCTAGTAAATACACAAATAAAAGCAGGCCAGATAGTAAGAGCCAACGCTCTGCATTAAACTGAGGTGAAAATAATTTAGCTTTGCAATACTTGAGCACAGTGTAGGACAAGTAAAGGGGTCACCATAGATTTCAAACAGAAGTTTTTTCCCAGTTATCCAAAAAATACTGAGCTGTTTGACCACTGTTCGACAGTAAATCTTTTAAGTTGACTGTACGTTTACTAAAATATACATGCAGTAGGCTGTGAGTTTCTCAAAGGATGTATTTTTTTAAATAAAATACTGTTAAAGCCCAAGTTATCATAAGGCTCAGGCAGCATCCAGTCAAAAACAATGATAAAAGTATATTAAAATCAGTATTCCCTTGACTGAGAAGAGCAGCTTCAACATATTAAATCAGAGCTATAAAATAGTACTGGTGATGGCAAATGTCAGACATTTGACATTCACATGAAATATAATATAGTAGCAGGCAAGAAAATTGTATTCGCTCAACTTCCTTTACCAGATTACTTACTATATGAGAGCCAGTCTGCCTAGCGTTAAAAGCATCAGGTTAGAAACAGGGAGGCCATGATTCAAGTCCAGCCTTAGCCAGGAAAGCCAACTGGGTAATATAGGGCCAGTCACTCTCTCTCAGCCCAACTCGCCTCACAGCGTTGTGGGGAAAACAGTAGAAAGACAGAGTAGATATGTTCATCACCTTGAGTTGTTTGTAAAAAATAATAAAGGCAGGATATTAAATGAGTGAGTGAATGCAACAACGCAAAACCGGATGTGCATTCCACTATGTTGCTGTGAAAAGATGACTGAAGAAGTCTAGCTCAAGGTTGATACAAAATCAGGAGTACCTGCTTGATGTGAATGACGATGACAATGCTGAAGAACATACTATATTTTATACAGGCAATATATTTTACACAAAGCAATGTACATAGTTTTTCCTTTTGTTTATCCCAACCCGCTGGGATTAGAAATAGCAACTAGTTCAAAGTTGTGCAGTGAGCTTCCATGGCTGAGGCTGGACTAATCTGATCTCCTTGCTCCTAGTCAAACAATTTAGCCACTATACCACACTGGCTAGGTACTAACTTTTTTGTAACATTTGTTAATTATCTAACAAACAAAATTTTGAAAAATCCTAGATAATAGGGTGCCAACACTCTGATCAGACCCCTAACTATTACCTTTACCAAAACATGAAGAATGAGTAAAACATCACATGATTTGTAGAAGGCAAAAGAATCCCTCTGGCTTCTCTAGTTATGCATATCAATAATGCATTCGCAATGCCAAAAGACTGGAATAGTTCTACTATTGTCCTATTTCTTAATAAAGATAACAGCAAGGGCCTTCCAATTATCATTTGCTTAGCTTCCTAAGCATTCTACACATCCTAAACTATAAATTATATAACCCTTACTGTTTTATAAGCTTCTGGATGGGCTATAACAGGGGTGTCAAACTCATGGTCACGCAGGCCGAATGCATCATGCACTGGCCACGCCCACCTCTGGTTTAGTGAAGGGGAAAGCTGCAATTCATCACGTGACGTGTCATCGCGAGTTTGACACCCCTAGGCTAGAATGTGAGAAATTTCCAGTCAACAAACAAGAAAGCATTGGGAAAAGACAGGCAACTGGGGACCAATTTGCTAACCTAGAGTTTGTAGCAGAGAACTACACAGATATCTATACCAACTCCCTGTATGTTGCCTTTGCTGACTGAAAATCAATCTTTGATCCCCTCCATAGAGAAAGACCATTTTATTACTCTATAATCAGAAGTTATTCTGTTAATTAAATTGCTGCAAGGAAATACAGTTATGCAAGTCAGATGCGATCTCTCTGCAGTTATCTCAATCCAGAAAGGTGTGAAATAGGGTTGTATTCTGCCTCCCCTACACACACTTCTTTTTCAGTATCTATGTTACCAAAATCTTCACCACTTTAACCAAAGCAATATTCCATCTCTGAAATGTAATAATAAATAGCTGTTTGTGCTTTTCGATGCTGGTGATGCAGTCATCATTTCTCTAAGTATGAAAAGAAGAATATGGATGGTAGTAGATTATTCGAGGGAAGAACTAAAAAAAATTTTTCTAATTGACCCGCAGTGATTTATGTCTTCATACTACTTTTTTAAAAATGTAACTGTATTCGGAAGAGAATCCATAAAACAGTTTGATGAATTAACATTGCTGCAGGAGGGGGGGGGAATTAAATTACAACTTAAATAGAAACATATGTTTGGTAATTGTATTCTACATAGTCAATTTCCTGCTGATTTAAAGATGGGCATGCAAATTTATTATACTAGCATTTTAATTAAGAAAATAACTATGTAATATGGAGTTTCTGCATCTATAGTAGAAGATAGTCCTCACTTAATGACCATTGGTCGAAGTTACAATAGAGCTACTTCTGAGAAATTTTTGAAATTCCGACAGCCACACACAGTCACACATGGTCACATGATCACATTTTGGGCACTTGGCAACCGGCTCACATTTAGAGCCATTTACAGAATCCTGTGGTCATGTGACTGCAATTTTTTACCAGTTTGTAGCATTTACTCCTGTTTTCGGCAAAAAGTGCTCATTAGTGAAATGGGGTTTGCTTAATGACCACCACAAAAACGGTTGTAAAATCAGGTATAGTCATAGGGTGATCTGCTTAACTACTGGTCCAATTTACAACCCTAATTGCAGGCTCAAATACAGTTGTAAATTGAGGACTAGCTGTAAGATGGAACAATACATTTTTTCATATGCAACTTCCTATCCCAAAGGCACTTTTTCAAGAGGTAACTGGACTTGAGGCAACTAGAAAAAAAGCACCTTTGGGATACATAACCTGAATCTCCATAGACATTTAGCAACTTCATACATTTTACAGTCTCATTGTCTAACTGAAAATCCTGGCTTGCCTTGGAAATAAGTATTTTAACAGTGAAACATTCATTAGGGCAGCAATTAAAATTTACTGCAAATTAAATACACTTCCATGAGCAAGTGAGTGAAATGATGCACAAAAGTTATTTTATGAGCAACATTATAAATGGCAAAATATTTGCATACAGTATTTACATTTTAAAGTTCTCTATAAACATGTATATAGTGCAGCTAGAAGAGACATATTTAACTGTGTTCCATAACACAACATTTTAAACATTGAACATAAGGTTAACTGACATTACATTAAAGGCCTTTTTATACGTTCTCCATTTATATACAGTCAATAGAAAAAAAAACACTTACAAAGTTTCCTGTTACATTATTTCCACTCTCAAAATACATTTTTAAATATTACATTTCAATTGCCTGCAGTAAAGGGAATGGAAAGCAGGCATTTCATGCTTTATCCTATAATTTAAAAAAGCTACATGGTTTTTAACCATTTGCATACAGAGAGTGTGCAGTTTTAATAAGACACATATGTATACATTTATATGTGGGTATGTGGGTATGTGGGTGTGTAGGTATGTATACACACATGTACCTAAAACACACACGCACACATACACAGCAGTACAAGAATTTAGCCAAGACAACCCCATTAATACCAACACATTCTAAAAGTGCCTTGAGCGTTTTCAGGTTTTGGAACATTTGAGTTTTTAAAAAAATAATACCAAAAATATAGTTCTGTGAAGTATCAGGACTTTAATCATTTTTCTGCTAGTCCTGCAAGGACCTCACAAGATACAGAATATGTATGCTTGACTCTCCCTTTTCAGAGATGGCTCGTGTAAACGTCTTCACGTAGCATGACATGAGTCACTGATGGCCTTGTGATTACTGATTAGTAATCTGAGTAGTGATTATTAATCTCCCATCATCATAAGTAGAGAACTTCACCTACAATGGCTCTACTCATGGAATGGACCGTTCGCTTCTGACAAGACTGCTATCTTGCCTGCAATGTATGATCAGTGCTTACCAACAATTTATTTTGGAGATGACTTGGGCAATGATTACATGGCCAATTACCCCACATAAACTGATGACCAGCCATTAACTGATAACTTACAATGAGGCAGTGCTGCTTACTATGTGCCCAATAAATTGCCTCAGGTGCCCAATAAATCACCTCATGTGAACCTGCTGCCTTTGCAGAGAATTTTAGTAGCAAATTTAAATACCTTTCCTCATGCCGTTATAAAAATCTCCCCTCCCCAATAATCACTAAGAATACAATTGGATAGATGGTGAATAGAAACTGAATGATCAGTTTATAGTCATCTACAATATGATCAGGACAAAGGTGAAAGTGGGCCCTTGGAACAGCCCAGAGCTAATTTAAGTGAGCTACATTTTACAACTTTAGAAATAAACTAGAATTACTAATCTATGGAACACTGAATTCCCTCAGACAAGCTAATTCCTATATGACATGTGCAGTGATTATAAAGTTATTGAGCAGTAGGATGAACAACTATATGAATCCAACCTTACTCAGCTCGGAGAAAATGGATACTTGTACAATTTTTAAGGGCAGACTTTAAGTAAGTTCATTTCACATTTAGTGTTTTTTTTTAAGTTACCATAAATATTCTGCTTGATGCTTTAGGAATATATCCAAATTCAGCATCAACAGACAAGAATATTTGAAAGGAGAAAACTACATACAGTATTCAGAGCTAAGTAAGATTACTTCCAAATAAATAATTGTTATTTAAAATCTTACATGTGGATTTTAAAGCAAAATATATATTTATTTTGAATATTATGAAGTTTGGTGGGGGTTGGGGTTTTTTTTTTTTTTTTGGCTTTTCACCTTCTTGCAAGGTGTATTTTTAAACCATTAGCCATTCTTATTTGTTAGCTGCAGCCTATTTTATTAGCAAATGGATACCATTTTATTTGTTTTTGGTATATGTGAGAGGAATCAAGCATTACAGCTCCTCTGCATCTTTCTATACTTGCATTCATAGGTACAATCCAAAATGAACTCAGGAAAAGTCTTGGAGGGAAAATAATACTTTGGTGCTAAAATTCATGGGCAACTTTTTCAAAAAGTGGGACATTTTGCACATTTAGACTTGTTCATAATGAAGCCCTGAGGTAACCAACCAGAACAGATTTGTTTTACAGACAATGGTAACACAGTGTCTCTTTACCTTATGAACAGTCCTTCACTGTAACTTTCTGTGGCATTTATCATATAGAACAGCCCATGAAACCCATCTTAAAGGAGATACTAGTCCCATTCAGAGGGGTTAGGCTAAGCTCTCAGAAGACTGGGCTAGTTTAGATACAGTCTCTTCAGTTTCAATTGTATTCCCCAGGTCTCCATTTTCATGGCCATCAATACTTGCTTTCTTATCAAATACTGTAAGGAAAAAAAACAATGAATGAAAGGAGCAACTTTTTTTGGACAATGATCTAGGTTGCCAATATTTGTTCCAAGCACCAACTGTCTAAGATAGCATAAATCCCAAGAGAAAAAAAGAAAGAGATACACATATACTTTAATTTTGAGATTCTATGGAGAACATAAAAAGGCACTGTTGATATTACAGCACCCAAGAGAAATTACAATGCACTACAATTAAAAAAGACCGTCACCTTTGTTTCCTGGGGGGGAGGGGGGGAAGAAAGCTTGTTTCACCGCTGCTATAAGAATATATACTTTTAAGAGTTCTGGGTAAAGGGATATTTATATATATAGAAAGATCAAAAAACAATAACTAGAACAGAAATGATTACTGCCATTCTTCTTTTTGCTATTTATCAATCGTGTTGTGTTACTGAGGTGGCAAAACCTTTCTAAAGACAAAGAATCGCAAGTATAATTAGGCAAATAAATTTAGTAACATGCAGGGTTTATTTTAATTGACGTTTACCAAAACAGATATATGAAAACCAGAATAATTTCATTCTGATCTAGTTGACCTTTATCTGTGTTTCTTTAAGAAACTTTACCTTGTAACGGTTTATCTCCACTTCCATCTTTTCTACCGGAAGCACAATTGCTACCTTCTTCCAATTCATCAAGATACAAACGATAGCGATGTCCACTCTCATCCTCGTATTCTACATTTTCATCGTCTGAGTCTACTTCAGGAGCAACATATACAACTTCAAATTCGATTTCTCCTCTCTAGAATACAAAATAAAAATCATTTTGCTGCTGAAAAACAGATAATCTGATATATAAAGCAATGGAAGAAATCCTGAGCAGTCAGTATAAAATACACTGCAATCAATTTATACATGGTCCTCTAAAACAGGGGTGTCAAACTGGCAGCCCACGGGCCAGATGCGTCACGTACAGGCCACATCCATCCCAGCTCCGCTAAGAGAAATAACGTCACGAAACATCACGTGACCGCAATGTGATGCCGCAAGTTTAAGACCCGTGCTCTAAAAGAACAAAAACAATTGAATTTTAGATGTTCATGTCCACGCTATGTGAGCAAGTTATAAGCAAAAAATTTTTAAAAAGTAGAATTAAATGTGCACCTCATCTGTCATTCTTCTGCTCATGCACTGGTTTTCCCCTCTTAATTTAAACCTCAAGCAGTGGATGTTTAGAACCACAGAAAGTATGTGATATAATAGCAAAGAAGAAAAAAAGAGTAAGAAAGATTAAGTTGCAAGATGAGATGTCTTGAAATAAATACCTATACACAATATTCACTGATAGACTCATCAATGGAATAACACATTTTTGAAAAGAAGTCTTTTTTGGTTATTCTGAATTAAAAACCAGAAATGCATGGATTGTTGCTCAGCTTTACTTCTGATCTATGAGAATATTTTTGGGGATGTGAGCAGTACGTATGAAATTTATTTGTTTAATTTTTATGCCACTCAATCCCAAATTTCTGGGCACTGTATAAACAATATAAAAAGGATTCAGTTAAATCTTACTGTGTCAGTTTAACTGTGTCAGTTAAATCTTACAACTCCAAAAAACATATTATCAAACGCTTGTTTGGAAGGTTTTTCAGATTTTCTTGAATGCCAGACATGAAGCGGCAAGGTACGTCTCCGATGGCAGCATATTTCCATAATTGGGCAATATTTAAGATCTTTCTTTTCCATGCTCGTCTCACCTCCCCTACTAAGACCAAATTATTCAAAATAATTTGTTCATGAATTGTGGTAAACCAGAATTTCAAAGAATTTAGATGATTATGAAAAAAACAAGTACAATAATATACAAACTTCAATCTTGTTTACTTGACTTATCCGTTCAGAAATAGATTAATAAACTGTAAATTCCATCTGTGGCAGGTAGAGAGAACGTCCTTGAAGGATAGGAGGAAGAACTGTTACCAAGGTAACTAATATAAAAGGGGCCTGAGCCTCGGCCAAGAAAGTAAAGTGAGAAAACACTTCCATCAACTCCCTCCTTAATTCACATGAAGATAAAGGGCAGGAGGAGGAAAGACATTCAGACTCGAAAGATTGATGTCAGCTCTATAAGACAGACCAGATTTAAAAACCAATGTCATGTAGATCGGTATGATCTTTATTGTATCAGATTTTTGCAATTGGAGAACCATACATCAACATCCTGGTTTAGAGTAACTCAAAGAGTTCTTGGAAATTCTGGTTTCACAGATGTATTTAATAATAGACAATTATCATTTTCCATAATTAGAAAACATGGTAAATAAAACACGCCTCATATGTTGAAACTGAAAATAAATCTTCTGGTATACTTATTTCAAAAGAATAGGGAAAATATACGTATAGTGTATGAATTTTGTATTAACATATACAAAATTACCTGTTGCGAAAGAATAGTTACAGCCTCTTTGTGTTTCGCGTCTCTCAGATTAACTCCATTAACTGCCAGAATGGCATCTCCAACGTGCAGACCTCCACAGCGATCAGCAGGCTGACCCGGATGAATTTCAGAGACCAAAATGGGAACCCCATGCTCCTTTCCTCCCTATCACGCCAATATTTAATACGTCAAAAAATTTATTCATATAAACCAGAATTCTTCGCATTAAGTTTTTTAAAAAAGTGTAGAATTTATATTGCTATCTATTCAGCAAAAAGCACTAGCTTAATTGCTACTCGGTATTTAATGCATAATTCAATTAGGAAAGCTTTATATTTTTATAGTGAATTACAAATTTTGTGGTTTTAATTAGAATATTAATATGGAACATTAGATAAATAACATAGGCTAGTATAACATGAAAGACATGCAAAAGTATATTTTAAAAAATCATTTCTGAGAATAGAAAAAAAGAAAATAAATTGAAATATTACTGTAATTGAAATGCCTAGTCCTTCATGATCTTCTTTAACCAAGAGAACTTTTCTGATTGGACCAACACCTTGGCTCTTCTTTAAGGAATCTGGATTCTAATTTAGAAATTAAAACAATATGAAAAAGTTTATGTAAGCTTTTGGGATAATTATAAAATAGTAAATAACAATTCACTATCTTTTTGTTTAGTCTAGCTTTATTTAGATACTGTATGTTCAGAGTCATTATTTCTAAAAATTTAGCAAGTACTGCTCTAATTAAGTTTCCTCTTAAGAATATGAAAGTGAGGGGCCTACTTATGATTCTCACATGTTGCAGTTGTTCTACGTTTCACTAAATTTATGGGATCAATTATATGGATATACGCAATATGAATCATCAAAAGCCAAACTATATGTAAACAAAACCTAAAATCAACTTACATGCCCTGGGGGTGCTTGCATGGGTCGTTTTAGATCGTTTCGACCTCGGCATGCCCTGATTACAGTTTTGTGCCGGTGCAGATGGATTTCAGCTTCTAGCTGGTTCCAAAGTTTGTCATGGGCAGGTCCTTTCATATCTCTACCCAACAACTGAATTTGTTGAACCCTGAAAATAAAATGTGATATATATACCTTGTAATTAATATTACTACAATTACAACTGCAAAACAAGGCAGGCAAAGCAGAGAAAGCATTAACAATAGTTTATTTATACATTTTCATTTAACATACATAAGTGCTTTGTGAACAGTGTATTGTCTGAGTCAATTTGCTTACATAATAATACTTTTCCAGCTCCTAATTTCTACCTCTATTATCCAACCATTTATAAAACAAGTCCCATGTTAGAAAATATTCTGTATCTTCTTTTTCTTTTATCTTTAATGTCAATCTGTCCATAATCTAATATTTTTTTAATTACATCTTCTTCTCTCAGCGTTTCCTCATTTTTCCAGTACTGTGCAAATACAATTCTTGCTGCTGTCAAAACATGTAATATTAAATACAAATTCCCCTTATCATACTTTTCTGGTACTATAACTAACAAAAATATTTCTGGTTTATAATCTATATGCTGATTTAATATTTTTTCTAACCATGTATGTATTTTTGTCCAATATTTCTTTGCTTTCACATATATCCACCACATGTGATACAGCGGTGGGTTTCAGGGGGTTCTGACCATTTCTGGAGAACCGGAAGCAGAAATTTTTAGTAGTTCGGAGAACCGGTAGTAAAAATTCTGACTGGCCCAGCCCCCATCTATTCTCTGCCTCCCAAGTCCCAGCTAATCAGGAGGAAATGGGGATTTTGCAGTAACCTTCCCCTGGAGTGGGGAGGGAATGAAAATTTTACAGTATCCTTCCCCTGCCATGCCCACCAAGCCATGCCACACCCACCAAGTCACACCCACAGAATCGGTAGTAAAAAAATTTGAAACCCACCACTGATGTGATAGTATGCTCCCAGTGCATTAACAATAGTTTTGAAGATGGAATCACATCAGCGGCAGGGAGGAGAGAGCAGGGTTTAGAATAAAGGAGTCAGCAATATTCTGTGCAATTGTCCAACTGTTGGATTTTTGTTTTTGAAAGTTTTTTTTCCACAGATATCAGCCTGATTCAGCCCAATTTCAAATTTGTTCTTTCTTTTGCCATTTTCTCCCCAAAACAAATTTGGATTTCGGTTTGATGTATTTGTGCTAAAAGGCAGCTGACTAGCTAGATAGCGGATCCTGTCCTCCTCATATAATTTATTTCCATTTTGCTGGGTTGAAAAGAATGAAAAAGGCTATCGACTATTCCACAGCTAAAATACTATGTGTGTGGTGTCATCTCTTTTAGAGACAACTACATATTTTCCCACCACAGTTAATTTTAAAATAAGCCCTTAATTATAATAGCTGGAATTTTTATAGCAAATTCTTCCATATTCCTGGTGCATTCTCATAAATACTATATGGTAAGTGTTGTTATTGTCAAATGTACCTTCCAGCTAGTTCTTTATCTAAATATTTAGCTGCGAGTCTGGCTCCATATACTTCAGCCTGAAGCACAGCTATGTGTCGACGTAGAGCCTCATTTTCCTTCCGAAGCAATTTCACTTCAGCTTCAAGTTGGGCTTCTTTCACCTTTTCTTTCTTGCTGGCTTCAAGTTCTCTCTCCTGGAAAAATTAAACAAGATCCTAATAACTTTCATCACAAAATTAACAGCCTCACTCTATATATACGTATTTGGGAACAGTACTAACACATCAATGGGTTGTTGTTGTTTTTTACAGAAAATTACCTATGACATAAAACTATGCACAACTGAATACTACACTTCTGACAGTAAAAGCTCGCTCCTAAAAAAAACAAAACACTCCAGTCACATACAAAAACAGTTCTTCGTCTAAAAATAAAAATATGCAAGCCTCCACAAAATGTTCGATAATCTAGCTGCCAATTTCTCTGTATAACAGAAAGCAATTTGGCAGAAAATCTGAAAAGCTTCTTGTTTAAAAATAAATAGCTATAAATTATAAACATGTGCCCCTTAACTCCTACTATACTGTCTCACTTGGGGGGGGGAGAGGTTGTTTCTGAGAGGGATAAGTGAAGTCATTAGCAGCATACACCAAAAGTGTATTAGACCCCTAAAGCCTGAAGGTCATTCTAGCTACCCAACTAAAGGAAGTGGGGTGCCTATATGTGGCTGCAGAGATACGAAAAGACACTGGAGTTAGATGATCACGTTAGTGACAATGGCACATACGTAATTTTACACTGCATAGGAGAAAGCAGTGGTAACCACTCCTCTATTTTACCAAAAAAACCACATGGTAAGCAATATAAAATGACTGATAATATAGCACCAGATGATGCCAGACATCTAGTTGCTGATGCTGACGCTTCCATGCAGGAAAAGAAAAGCTGCAAAGACAAAATTACACTGGGAAGACGGAACATAAGCATAAACATAGTGAAAGATCTTTGACACACATTGACATCTTTGGTATCAGTAAATTAAAATGGATTGGAATTACACACTTTCAGTCAGAAGATCATACAATTTACTTATGATATGATATAAAAAACTTGAAAAAACAAAGGGCAAATAAAAACCAAAGAAGGAACAGCATTCCTTTCATAATCGAGATGGATATGAGAAAGAGAATACTCAGGTAAGAATGCTGTCAATGATCAAATAGTATCAATTAGGTTTCACAGACAACCTTTTAATTTGACAATTATCCAAGTTACTGCTGCAGTCACTGATGCAAAATGAGAGATTAGTGAATGTTATAGACAAGTCAAATCTAAAATTGATAGAACATGCCATAAAATGAGTTGCCTATGATGGGAGACTGGAATACCATATAGTTGGAAATAGTTAGAGGGAAAACATAATTGTATTATGTGGCCTAAGAAATAGAAATGAAGCATGATAATGACTTAACTGTTTCTGCAACCCAACCAATGAATTTTTTTTTCATTGCTAATATAGTCTTCAAACAACCAAAACGGTATTTGTCCACATAGACATCACCAGATGGAGCACATAAACATCAAACTGACTAGTAACAAGGAGATGGAAGTTCACAGTTCAAACAGCAAAAATATGACAAGGAGCAGATCATGTGTAAGTTCCAAGTAAGGTTAAAACGAAACACAAAGCCAACCAGTTTCTACAATATGATTACCATTTCCATCAGGAATCATTTTGAATTCCTGAATTTCATTGACAATGAATCAGTGAAACAATGGAAGAAAATTAAAGAAGCTGTTAATGATGAATGTGAAATAAAACTGCCAAAGACCAAGAAAAAAAACGAATAGCAAACTGGGTATCAGGACAGATGTGGAAATTGCCAAGAAGGGAAGAAAAGCCACAGACAATAAAGACAAAAATCTCAAAAACCAAATAAATATCTTCTAGGACAGGGGTGTCAAACTCACGTCGTCACATGACGTATTACAACTTTTTCCCCTTCGCTAACCCGGCCATGGCACATCCATCCCGCGGGCTGCGAGTTTGACATCCCTGTCCTGGAATATTCAAATATGTCTCAATTTGAATTTTTCCATGAACTACTTTGGAGATTCTAATAATCAACAACACATCCATACATATATCCATACATCCAACTGTGTAATTAGGTAATTAGGTTAAGTCATGAAGCTAATGTTTTTATGAAGACAAATTACCTAGAATACCATCATCCAATAATAAAAGAGAAAAAAATCACTTCATCTATATATTATTGAGACTGCAAAGCATTAAATACACCAGACAATTATTCTTTTAAGATACACTGTGTTTTGCACATGTTTTTGAATGACTGTCTACCACACTAAGTCACAGAAACTTTTATTCAGAGCCTAAGTGAATCATGTTGCTATTATAGGTAAGTTAGATCCCTAACCAATAACTGTGAATGTTTAATAAATTTCAACTCAATTTCAATAATCCCTTCAAAATTTTTTAGTTAGTCATAGCAATTAATATCAGCAATACAATCATGCATGTTGGATAGAAGAAACATCCAATCTAACAACTGAACCCACAAGTAGTTGGCTAGGAAGTTACAGAAAAGCCAAAAATATATTTGAGATTAACTGTCATTAAATGTCAGGGCCAAAATATGTACAAAACTCCTGTGCAGTTTTGAATTTAAGTATGGATGAACGCATCAAATGAACTTACCATATCCTCCAAAGAACAGGCAGACTTAAGATGAGAGAAAAAAAGTATCATAATTAGCAATATTGGCCGAAGTATCAAACTACAATAACCCAAAGCTTGCAATCTAACTATATAAAGTCTGGTGAAAAACTAACACAGTGGAACTCTACAGACTATTTACTTCATTTAATGTAGTGGTATCAATACTGTTATCCAAACAATTACTATCTATATCTCTCATTTCCAGAATACAGTTTCAGTCCATCAAAATAAAAGTTGTAAGAATCATCCTCAACGAAGTATTTTCAACAATAGAGCAACCCCATACAATCTTTGTGTGGAATGTATTCTTTTTCTAGGTTTATATTTCTTATGTTATTAACTAGGACTGCAACATAAAGGTAAAAAAAATCCATTAAAATGTCACATCCATCTCTCTCTCTCTCCATACAAAAACTGCAGCACAAACAAGAAATGCAGAACTATTTCCCCTCTTCTTTTTTTTTTAGGGTTCTCTCAAGAAGCACACTACTTATTCAAGAACCTTTAAGAAAATGAACCAAGTATATTATGCTTTGAGGGTAAGCGGTTAGAAGTAAACTGGGGGAAAGATTTTATCACTGACACTGTTATTGAGTTAAGGAATAGAGAGGTATATAAGGGAAGATAGGTTGCAATGGGAAAACGCCAAAAATTCCTCTCCAGATTTCACATTGTTGCCTTTTTGCCTCACTATTATAACATCCTGACACTATCACATTGATTTAAAGCTTCCCATTTTACATGCTTAATTTGCACTGTTGTTAAAGAAAATAGATAAACATATAAAAATGGCCTCTTAGTAACCTAAAGCAGACCACATATATATTTCCCCTTGAACCTCTTAGAATGGGCAAGGTAAAAACTAAAAGCTGTAACAGGCACACAAAATATTTTGAATTTTTTTTAACTGTAAGAATATTTTTTTTCTTTAACAAGAACACTTACCAATTTTGCCTTTATTGCCCCGGAATCAACATTCAGGCCAGTCTTTGCATGAAGCTGAAGTTGAATGGCATGGAGTTGCAATAGTTGGTCATGTACTTCTTTTTCTAATACTGCCTTTTCAGCCCGAGTTTCTGTCAGTTCTGATTTCAGATCTACTAGTTGAGCCTGGAACACACGTCATTGAATAATTAACATCACTGAATATGTACAATACTCAAAAGAAATCTAATCCTTAAAGCAATACCTCTCCGGCAGGTTTTTCTAAATTGTCACTATCCTAAACATTTTTTTCAAATATACAGAAGTCAAATATCAGATGGTAAGGCAACTTAAGAAGTAAAAGAAGTTCCTCAACAAGGCAGATCTGCAATAACACAGAAGTATTTCATTTATGAATTCATTTAATTCACTCTATTCTAAACCTATCGCCATGATCAGCTATCATGTGAATCTTCAGGCAGCATTAGTATAAATCACTGTGAATGAGCACCTAATGTATATTGATCAATTTAGCATATTTTTTTGTTAAATTGCTTGTTTTATATTGTAATAACACATTGTTCATCATAAACAATGCATGCTAACATTGATTTAGAAATACTGATTATAATTTACAAAACTCTGAATGGAAAAGATGATGATTTTATTCCTGAATTTGTTTCATTTACTCATTTACAAAACTTTAATAACTAAATCTTTATGCCGAGGATTATCAACTGTCACAAGAGGACATGCTCTTGTTTTTATCCATACACGAATTAAGTATAATCAATTGTTTTACTGTGTCTTTCTTCTGATTAAAGCAATAAGGAGATACATTTGAAACTATTGCTTTATCACATTTCTAGAGGTAAATGGTGTAATATTAACATTTGAACAGCCATAATCAAATTATTAAAATGTTTAAAACATAATTTAGTTTTGAATTCTTTATCCTAGCTCACAAGCTTCTCATACTGAAAGATCTCAGTATAGCCTTTTGGCCTTTCTAAACTGCAGACAATAATAAAAACGCCCAAATAACAACATACTGTAGAACCAAAGAGATTATATTTGAAGTAGCAGCTCCCTTTTCTATCTTTTGCCCTAATACTATAAATTTTCAGGGATTTCAAAGCCAGGATGCAGCAGATCCAAAATGATGAAAATGCTATGAAATGTAAGGAGTAAAATGCTTGGACATTTTTCAACTTGAATATTTTTCAACTGTGAAAAGGTCAGAGTTTAATCTAAATGGCTAGAAATTCTAGGAACTGTAGCCCCATTACGTCAGAGTCAACAATTTGAGGATTGTATTTAACATACTGACACTACAAGAACCAGGGTGGATAAAAATCAATGATTTTTTTAAAAAAATCAAAAAAATCAGATTTTTTTTATTTAAATCGGATTTTTTTTATTTTTATCAAATTTATTTTAATAAAAAACTTTTGGGGTAAAAATCTATCGTAAGATAGTTTTCTATTTAAGATATATAAATAATTTAGTTTATTCAGCATGAAGTGGAGCTTAGTTATGTAGCATAAGACTGTATATTCTGCAACACTGGGACTATCGGTGAGTCAACAGTGGGTCAAAGGAGTAGCAGAGATGACAGTTGCTATTTAAAAATTATGATTTAAATCGAGTTGATTTAAATCAAGCCTTTTTACTAGTCATTTAAATCATGATTTAAATTGTGATTTAAATCAACTCGATTTAAATCAAATCCACCCTGACAAGAACTAGTGTGAATAAAAACTGATAGTGAAACAGAGATCTTTCAGAGAAAGGAAGCATATTTTGTAAGATATAACATATATTATTAAGTTAAATATATAAATATACTTTATTTACCCATCATGTCATAGCATATACTAGCATATACTTTACCAGTGTAGAGGAACAAACTACGCTGATAAAAAAAAAAAATGGTACAGTCAACCATGGCCTTATTTTACTACAGGAAAATCCTGGAAATACAGGCAATCCTCGATTTACAACAGTTCATTTAGTGACAGTTCAAAGCCACCATGGCACTGAAAAAAGTGAGTTATGACCGTTTTTCACAGTTACCTTTGCGGCATCCACATAATCATGTGATCAAAATTCAGATACTTGGCAACTGATTCATATTTATGACCGTTGCTGTGTCCCATGGCACATGTGATCACCTTTTGTGATCTTCTGAGAAGCAAAGTCAATGGGGAAACCAGATTCACTTAACAACTGGGCTAGTAACTTATCAACTGCATGATTCACTTAACAATTGTGGCAAGAAAGACCATAAAATGGGGCAAAACTAATTTAACAAATGTCTCCCTTAACAACAAAAATTTTGGGCTCCATTGTGGTCATAAAGACGCGGACTACCTGTAGTATTTCATCTAAATCCTTTATCCTCATAATAATTTTAATACTACCATGTAGTTTCCAGATGATCCAAATATGCATTCAGTTTTCTAGTAGATGCAGTCAAAATGGTTTTAATAGCCAGGCTAGCAAATTGGCAAAAAGTTTCTCTGTGGCTTCTGAATGAAAATGAATGAGCAAAATGATATGGAAAAGTAATCGTGCCCAGATCATTTGGCTTGGCAGGAAATTCACCTTTTTGTGAATAATTAAACTGTCAGAATTTTTCATGTTTATCAGGTATACATTTTTTCTAATTTTCTTGGAATTGGAAACATATTTTTTAATCATTTTTTTTTAAATAAGACTTTATTAAATTTCAACAACAGATAAAATACAAGGAAACAGAATAAAATAAATGTTGAGAAATTATATTCTAATATGATGGCTGGATTCATTGTGGTAAGTCAGGTCTGATTAACCACAGATTGTTGTAGAACCATATAGCTAAGTTCACATAATACATAAACATTAAACTGCTGTTTCTTAAACTTTTTTTTCCTCTCAGAACCTCTTCCTCTTTTAAAAATTATGAAGGACCCCAAAGGATTTTGTTTGAATTGGTTACATTTATCAATATTTACATTTAAAAATTAAAATTGATGCATTCACTGCTGTGTCTTGCAATTGTTTGATGGGATTTAATATTTAATTATATTTCAGCATAGGCTGACAAATAATTTTGTTTTCACGGATCCCTGAAAGAGTCATGGGGACTTTTACGTCAACACTAAGACCACACTGCAACAAACTACCACATTAACAGGATTGGAATGAGAATGTTGAAATAAATGCAAGAAATGGGAAGGATCGACTACCTTCTGAGCCAATATTTAAACCTTCATTCTAGCTTGCATTATCTAAATCTTTCTAGTTCTAAATCACCTTGTATCTCCTCTAGAGGTACCTAGGTAAAGTGAACTGGTGAAACCAAGGCGCTGTTTCAGGAGAAATAATTCTAAAAATCTCCCACTATTTCTTTTAGGCATAGTTCTTTCCAGGTGAAATTTTCTGAACTACTGAGAAATTCTGCAATTGTACATTAGAACTTTTCAACTATCACTGAACGATTATATTGAAGCTGATACTTTTTCTCCAACATGTTGATACCAATGCCTGTTACTACTTATTATTGCTGTATTCTTATATTTTGTTGCCTTTTGACAGTAACTACTGTCTTGTCAATAATTATATTTATAATATGGATTTAGTAACCAGATATTAGTTATGAGATTATAGTATACTAGTGAATAAATAGTATTTTACCACCTCAATACTTTGCTTTCAGTCCTAATAAAATACAATATCCCACAGTATATTGAAATTACTGTAAATGTTTAGCTTCCTCTATGAAACTACTCAAGTAATTGTTATTTTACTTAGCACATGTTGGAAATAAAAGTACAAATTATAACAAATGCATGTCTATTTATAACTTAGAAAACCAACTTATTTAAGGTTGATCCTTTTCACTTTGGCAGAAAGTCAATAAAAAACTAAGAAATATCTAACCTACCCACTCATACTTAAAATAGTTCAAGATTATGTTTGTTTTTATCAGTACAGTATTTCTGTGAAGTAGTTCGGAACAGAGAAAGATAATTGAGAAAGATAATTTATCCTCAATTTGTACAATTTTTCATGTATCTGTAGCAGAGTTTCCAATAAAGAACATTAGGACAGGTATACAGGTAGTCCTCAACTTACGACAAATGAGCCCAAAATTCCTGCTGCTAAATGAGACATTTATTAAGTGAGTGTTGTCCCATTTGATGATCTTTCTTGCCACGCTTGTTAAATGAATCACTGCGATTGTTAAGTTAGTGACACAGTTATAAAGTGAATCTGGCTTCCCCATTGACATTGCCTGTCAGAAGATCGCAAAATGTGATCACATGACCCCAGGACACTGCAATCGTCATAAATATGAGTCAGTTGCCCAGCATGTGAATTTAGATCAGGTGGCCATGGGGATGCTGCAACGGTCGTAAGTGTGAAAAAACGGTCATAAGTCACTCTTTTCAGTGCTGTTGTAACTTCGAACAGTCAGTAAGCAAACTGTTGTAAATCAAGGACTACCTGTGTTCAGAAAATTAATTTTTGCATTAAAAACTTTGCTACATTATAGCTTTCCAAAAACAGTTATATATTGTTTCTGTCTATTCAGTACAGTATTTTTGTCTACAAAATTACTGATTTTCAGGTCATTTTCTTTATTGCTTTTCATAATTGATGCAGTATATTAAATGGCGCCACAGTTCCACCACCAATTTGTCTACATAAATACTGTTGTTGCTTAGCAAACTTGATAAGGTACTTACTGACCTTGGGAGAGTTTGGCTAGACACTTAAGTTATTTTCCTGTTGCCAAGCGTCCCTGGATGCTTAACTTGCAAGTTTATTTAACTAGCATTTACATTGATATTTACCACAACAATGAAGACATTTTTTTAATGTCTTCATTAAAAAAAGTGTGCTCTCTTAGGCGTGGAGACCTCAAATGGCTAGTTTATTTCTATTTTCCTTTCCCCAACTTCTGCTACAGCCAATTATACTTGGCATAATTGAGTTTTAAAAATATACAGAGTTCTACTGTAGCATGTTTGTTTAGCATAGCTTTTTTAAATTAGCAATACTCTTGTGTGCATGTAACATAGATGTTTGTGCGGGTAAGGTTATCAACCTTGCTGTCAAGCAAAACCAAGCATTTAATAGTGAGTGCCATACCATGTGCATTAATCAAATAGGTGGCAAGAAAGTAGGGGCAGTCAGGCACAACATAGGTTATGTAGACAGAAAACACAGGGTCAATCAAAATGGACTCAAATGTCTATACACCAATGCAGAGTATGAGGAATAAACAGGGAGAATTAGAAATTCAAGTAAATGAGGGCAGATATGATATTGTTGCCATTACGGAAACCTGGTAGGATGAAACCCACAAATGGAACATACAGCTAGAGAGATTTAAATTATTTAAAAGAAATAGACCAAATAAAAGAGGAGGTGGAGTTGCATTATATATAAGAAATAACTACATCTCTACAGAAATAGAGCACAGCAATGACAAAAATTATCTTGAATGCATTTTGGTCAATATTAAAGTGGGGGGGAGGAATGACATTGCCATAGGTGTATACTATAGTTCATCCAACCACACTGAGGAAATAGATGAACTTTTTGCTCGGCAGCTAACTAAGGTATGTACAAAGCAGATCACAATAGTAATGGGGGATTTTAACTACCCTGACATCAACTGGGAGACAAACTCTGCACCAAGTGGAAGATCCAACAGGTTCCTAACAAACCTAGCAGATAACTTTGTTTCCCAAAAAGTAGAGAAGGGAACAAGGAGATCAGCCATATTGGACTTAATTCTCACTAACAGAGATGAAATCATGCAATGATTGGAATTCAACATTATGCAAGCACAAGCAATAGAACAAAGTCAAACTAAAGTCTTGGACTTTAAGAGAGCTAATTTCAATAAACAGAGAGAGCTTGGGAAGGATCCCATAAAAGGGAAAACAATTCAAGAAGCTTGGGAAATTTTGAAAAGTGAGATTATAAAAGCGCAGTCTAGCACAATACCAACAAAGAAGAAAAATAACAGCTCTCAAAAGAAACCAGCATGGCTGCATAAAGAACTCTCTGACAAATTGAAAGACAAAAAGGACAAGTATAAAAAGTATAAAAAGAGGGGCACATAACTAAAACAGAATATCAGCAAATACCCCGAGCCTGCAAAGATGAAATGAGAAAAGCTAAGGCTCACAATGAACAAAGACTTGTGACAAAAGAAAAAAATAATTAAAAAAACTTCTTTCAACATGTTAAAAACAAGAAAAATGTTAAGGAAACAATTGGTCCATTGCTGGGAGAAAGTGGCAAGAAGGTGACAAGCAACAGGGAGAAAGCAGAGCTACTTAACTTGCTTTTTTCAACTGCCTTTACACAAAGGGAAAAAACAGTCCAACCTAAAAAAAACAGCACCACAAAAAACAGATTAGGAACATGTTAAAATAGGGAAGAAAATGGTAAGTGAGCATCTGTCTACCCTAGATGAGTTCAAATCACCAGTACCAGATGGGTTTCAACCCAAGATTCTGAAGGAACTGGCAGACGAGATTTCAGAACCACTGAACTATAACTTTCAAAGATCCTGGAGCCGGGGAATTGCCAGAGGACTGGAAAAGAGCTGATGTAGTTCCCATCTTCAATCTTCAAAAAAAAAATAGATCCAGGAAACTAACGACCTATCAGCCTGACCTCAATATCAGGGAAGATTCTGGAAAAGATAATCAAGCAACGAATCAGCGAACACCTAGAAGCAAACAAAGTAACAACCAAAAGTCAACATGGGTTTGTCAAAAACAGATCACGCCAGACTAATCTTATTGCATTCTTTGACAAAGAGATAAAATTAGTGGACCAGAGGAATGCTGTCGATATAATTTACTTGGACTTGTAAGGCATTTGATAAAGTAGACCATAATCTACTACTAGATAAAATAGAAAAATGTGGGTTAGACAGAATCACCAGCAGATGGATTCGTAACTGGCTGACCAACTGCACTCAACATGAAGTCCTCAATGGAACTGCATCTACATGGAGGAAAGTATGCAGTGGAGTACCCCAAGGCTCTGTTTTAGGCCCAGTACTCTTCAACATCTTCATCAATGATTTGGATGAGGGGATTGATGGGGAACTCATCAAATTTGCAGACGACACCAATCTAGCAGGAATAGGCAACACTCCGGAAGATAGGCTTAAGATCCAGAATGATCTTGACAGACTTGAACATTGGGCGCTATCTAACAAAATGAAATTCAATGGTGAAAAAAGTAAGGTTCTACATTTAGGCAAGAAAACATATGAAGAACAGTTGCAGAAACTGGGTATGTCTAGCTTAATGAAAAGAAGGACTAGGGGAGACATGATAGCAGTGTTCCAATATCTCAGGGACTGCCACAAAGAAGAGGGAGTCAAGCTATTCTCCAAAGCACCAGAGGACAGGACAAGAAACAAGAAGGAGAGAAGCAACCTAGAACTAAGGAGAAATTTCCTGATAGTTAAAACAATCAGTGGAACAACTTGCTTCCAGAAGTTGTGAATGCTCCAACACTGTAAGTTTTTAAGAAGATATTGGATAACCATTTGTCTGAAGTGGTGTAGGGTTTCCTGCCTAAGCAGGGGGTTGGACTAGAAGACCTCCAAAGTCCCTTCCAACTCTGTTATTCTGTTTTCTGTTTTCTTCAATAGCCTGAAGTAGAGAATATTTGACCTGTGTTTTGTAACAGATCTGAGATCTTCACATCATAAATGCTTACTGCATCACTTAGTTGAAGGCCTCCCTGTGGTGTTAGTTTCACAACACAAACACATTTACAATCTATCCACAAAGATATCTTCAGACAGATCACACACAGAGGCAGAATGTCAGCATTATCTTTTCTCTCACTATCCTACAGCATTACTTCCTAAAATACCTTACTAAGCCTAAGGGTTAGTTAAGTCCCTCAAAAGTATGATCTTTTGTATATTACACAGGATCCACAGACTGGGCCCGAAGATTTTTTAAAAAATCAGGATATTGTTTTCTTACATTTAAGATTACCCCAGGCTTGAATAGGTTATAAAGAGAGCAACTGGCCCTAAATCACTAAGAGATACACAAAACCTATACTTCAAACATGATCACCCTAGACCATGGCCTGGCTTTGCTGACAAAAGCCCAGATTCACACAGCACATGAGGAATCCTGGTTAACACCATCAATGCTAGTTTGGATAATGAAGTAGCTGCAAGAAAACAACAACGCTCAGAGAGCACCTAGGACCACTCATTTCAACCCTGAGCTACAAATATTTTCCTTTATTGGTACACAGCCTGTGACAATACAGGTAGTCCTCGACTTACGATCACAACTGAGCCCAAAATATCTCTTGTTAAGGGAGACATTTGTCAAGTGAGTTTTGCCCCATTTTACGATTTTTCTCACCTCAGTTGTTAAGTGAACAGCTGCAGTTGATAAGAAGGCGAGTAATTCGGTCGTTAAGTGAATCTGGCTTCCCCATGGACTTTGCCGGTCAGGAGGTCGCCAAAGGTGGATCACGTAATCGTGGGAAACAGCAACCATCATAAATCTGATTGTTGCCATAAAGTTGCCAAGCGTTTTGAATTTTGGCCACGCAACCCTGGGGATGGTGCCAAGGTAGGTTGTAACAGAAAAACGGTCACTTTTTATTCTCGATGCCGTTGTAACTCTGATGGGTCACTAAATGAACTGTTGTAAGTCGAGGACTAACCTGTTACAAGGACTGGGGAAATCCCAACAGCGGGAGTCCAAATGAGTAATGTTGTATTCCTTCCCCGCCTACTGGACAAACACAAAGATCTATATTTCCCATTTCAAAGAGGGGAAAAGTGAGGGGTGAGGTCCCCACACTCATCTCCTCCAAAGGAGATCTCTCTCTCTCTCTCTCTCTCCCATCTATCCTTCCCGCGGGGCCCGCGATCTCCGCGAACCGGCCAGCCCTCGCCCATCACCTCCAGCTTGTGGTTGATCTGGGACACCGTTTGCGCCTTGTGGCAGAGCTGGGCGAAGCAGGAGCTCAGGCTGGTCATCTTCTGCCGCCCTTCGTAAGTGATGTCCGCCTGATCCGGGTCGATCTCGCCCAGCAGCAAGTCCACATCCACGAACGCCTTGTCGAATTCCTTCTCCAGGACTTCCAGCCAGCGGAACATCGACAGCCCGCCGCCGCCGCCGCTTCCACCGGGGGAACAGGAGGTGGAGGAGGAGGAGGAAGAGGCCGCCGCCGCCGCCGCCCCCCCGCCGCAGGCCCCGATCCCCGATCCCCCGCAGGAATCCACCCCCACGCCGGACATGGCTCGCGGGTAGTAGCGCTGCGCTCCTGCCCCCGACACGCTGCGGCCCGACTTCGGCAGGGCTGCGGGACGCGCGCCCGCCTTCAGCGCTGACGGTACGAGACGCGGCTGCGGCGGCGTCCTGCCCCGAGACGCAGGCGGAGAAGGAACGGCGGCGATTAGAGAAAGCGACTCTCTCTCTCTCTCTCTCTCTCTCGGGCGCATGCGCTAAGAAAACGACTGCGCTTCTGTCACCCGGCCGGCGGCTGGAAAAACCCGCCGTGCGGGGAAAAAAAAAAAAAATCGGCGATCGGCTTCTTCGGCCTGCCACAAGACAGCCGAGTTTGCCAAGGCGAAGTGAGACGATGCCCCGATTCGTCGAGCGGGGGCGACGTTCCCTTCCCCGCCTTTGGACTTAAAGAGTGGAGGGGGGGGGGGGAGGGGGGGGGCGCTGCGGGACGAGAGAAGCAAACGGAGCTTCCGGGCGGATAAGATGCGGGTCAGCGGGTGGCTTTTGGGGAAGCTCACAAAGTAGTTGGGAGTTCAGCTGGTACCTAATCTCTGACTCGATGCAACCGTCTTCCGACCGGGGAAAAGACACGCAAAATCGTCGTGGGCGAATGGAGTGGGTTGGGTTTTTTTTAAGATCCTTTCGGTGTTTTCATATAGGTAGTCCTCAATTTACGACCGCAGCTGAGCCCCACATTTCTTGTTGCTAGGTGAGACATTTCTCGAGTGAGTTTTGTCCCCCCCCTTCCCATTTTACGACCCTTCTAGCCACGGTTGTGAAGCGAATCGCTGCGGTGGTTAAAAGTTAGTAGCACGGTTGTTAAGCGAAAGTTAGTAACACGGTTGTTAAGCGAATCTGGTTTCCCCATTGATTTTTTTTTTTAACGTGCCAGAAGGTTGCGAAAAGGGAAGGATCACGTGACCCTGGGACATTGCAATTGTCAAGAAATATGAGCCAGTTGCCAAGTATCTGAATTTTGATCAAGTGACCGTGGTGATGCCGCGACAATCGTTAAGTGTGAAAAACAGTCATAAGCCGTTTTTTTCCAGTGCTGTTGTAACTTTGAATGGTCACTAAATGAACTGTTGTAAGTTGAAGACTACTTGTATAGTCCCGGAATGGGTAAAAACAGTTTGTATTCGGAAGACATGTTTATGTCAGAGTGTTAGGTTTTTTTAATTATCTAAGGCAGTGGTTCTCAACCTTCCTAATGCCGCGACCCTTTAATATAGTTCCTCATGTTGTGGTGAACCCCAAGCAGGGGTGGGTTCTAAATTTTTTTACTACCGGTTCTGTGGGCGTGGCTTATTTTGTGGGCATGGCTTGGAGGTCATGTGACTGGGTGGGCGTGGCTAGCTGGTCATGTGACTGGGTGGCCATGCTATGTGTATAGGGACTACTCAGAGGGCTGAAAAAAGTCATTTCTGACAGGTCCTCGCACTTTTGACCGGTCTTCGCACTTATGACTGGTCATCATTTATGCCCATTGTAGCATTCTTAACAACAGTGTCACTCATTTCACAACTGCTTCTCTTCACCATGGTGACAAGATAGCAAAAACGTAAAATGTGAGGACAGTCGTAAGTTCGAGGTTGGTCAAAAGTGCGAGGACCAGTCAAAAATAACTTTTTCAGCCCTCTGAGTAGTCCATGTGCACAAAAGGATTACCCAGAGGGCTGAAAAAAGTCATTTCTGACAGGTCCTCGCACTTTTGACCGGTCTTCGCACTTATGACTGGTCATCATTTATGCCCATTGTAGCATTAACAACCATTGTCACTCATTTCACAACTGCTTCTCTTCACCATGGTGACAAGATAGGGAAAAAAGGTAAAATGTGAAGACAGTCGTAAGTTCAAGGACTGGTCAAAAGTGCGAGAACCAGTCAGAAATAACTTTTTCAGCCCTCTGAGTAGTCCATATGCATAAAAGGATACAGTGATGGAGAGGGATGAAGGAAGGGAAGGGAAATTAGAGTAGGAGGGAGGGTAAGAGAGGGAGGAAGAGAGGAGGAGAAGGAGAAAGGAAGAGGAAGTAGGGAGGAGAAGAAGAGGGGGAGGAAGAGAAAGTAAGAAGGAAAGAAAAGAGAGAGGTGGTAGGTTTGAGGAGAAAGATTGCTGTACAATAAAAAAGATGAAAGGGAAGAAAGCCAACCCCAAACAAATATAAAGATATTAAGATAAAGAATGAATTGTTAAACTTTAAAGAATAAAAGAGAACAAATATGAATAAATAACAATAATTAGAAACACACATACAAACATACAATGTATTTTCTTTGAACAGAGTATTTGGCTGGTTCACAAATTTAAACAGTGTTTAGTCATTTCAATTAAATTTACAATTTCTATATTTCCTTTTTGCCATATTTATTCCTCATCTATTTTTGTAAAAACCAATATTACCCTTCATCCTCATCTCTAATCTTAATCAAATTCAATTTTTCCTTTCTATTCTATATTATACCCCTTCCCATTGTCATCTATTTTTATATCCATCCTCACATTGGTTAATTATGTAATATTACAGTTGTTTAATATAAATTCAACATTTTAATATAAATCAATTAGTTATATAACTACCTTTTATATATTAATCAATATGAACATGAATATTCCAATTATTTCCATGCAATCCAATTTCTTACAAATCAATTAATTATATTTACCAATAATAATAAACCAAATAATTTCCCCCATATATTCCTCCAAATCACAACTTAACCATTTCTGCTTTCAACACAATATACAATTAATAGTATCTCAATTATTACAATTCCCTAGTTAAATAGAGCTTTTTTTCTTTTGTGTTTTAAAATCTTGAACTCTCCTCTTTTTCTCTAAATTTCCCATTGTTTGCACCTACCTTTTTTGGTGAGAAAAAAGAAAAGAAATCTGCCTGGCTAATTTTTCAATGTTGCAGCAACAGCAAAGCCAACAGCCTGCTTTAGTTTCAGTTTCGTTTTTCAGCATAAATAGGGGGGAAAAAATCTGCACTCTTTGCAAGCAAGCAGCAGAGCCCTCCGCAAAACAGCTGAGAGTCGGGAGCCGATCTAAGCAAGGGCTAATTAGCCTATGCTGAAGCTCCGGGGGCCAATAAAATTACAAAAAAACACCGAACCATTTGTTAAATTGCTGGCTCGCCCGCCCCTTACCCACCACTATTTATTGGCAATAAATAGTGGTGCGGAGGGGCGGGGCAAGCCAGCGATTTAATAAATGGTTCGGCTGAACCCCCTAGAACCGGCAGAATCCCACCACTGGCTATAGGGCGGCCCTTTGAAGCCCCGCAGCAAGAATTTAAACAGTTTTTTTTTCCTCTAGCCATCAGCTGGGATTCAGGAGGCAGCAATAGATTGGGAGTGGACGGGGTAAGCGAACGGCCGGCGATCCAACAGAGCAGAGAGTGAGGGTGAGTGAAGGCGTGGGGGGGGCAAGAGAGGGCTTTGGCGACCCCTGTGAAATGGCCGTTCGACCCCCAAAGGGGTCGCGACCCCCAGGTTGAGAACTGCTGATCTAAGGGGAGAGGGGAATTCAAAAAGGTCAGAAGCTGCATCGCTTTATCCCAAAGGTGCTTTTCCAAATGCAACCGGACTTTTCTTGTAAGAAAGACACTCAACTTTACATATTGATCAATTATAGGGGTTGATTAGCACAGCACACTAGGCAAATATGTGACTGGCTAGTCTCTGCTTCGCTCCATTGTTTAGCCTTTTTGTATTAGTGAAAGCAAACACTAAGCAACAAAGGTAAAACTTCCTTCCTCAAGCTTCAAGAGTTAAGCTTGTTTTTAAAATGCAGCTTTCCGAGAAGCCTTGTCAAACCTCTACTAATATTGAAAATAGCAAAAAGAGAGAAATTACATTGTTCTTAGTTTTAAGGCAAGGTGGCTGAAGAACAAAAAAAGGTTAACTTTATTTTATTAAATGTATATGCTGCCCGTCTGATTGTCCCAAGTTCAAGAGTTCATCCCATAACTGAAGCATAAACTTGCTTTAGTAACTGGTTTTTGTACTATATATTCATGACATTGCTTTTCTCTTTTCCCCAGCCCACAGCTGATGTAGCTGAAAATTGTTTTTGGCTACTTCCAGAGATGTTGTTTTCCCCATTTTCCCAATATAAGTTTTGCTGTGGACCTGATCTTGGTGGCTTCTTTGACTAGGTGGCTGATGAGGCAGTTAGAGCTGGAAACTGCCACTTTTGGGCCACTTTTGGGTACTGTAGTAACACAGATATCCCTTCTTGCTACCCTCAAATTGCCTCTGATTGTTATAAATTGTCCTCTGTGGCCATTTTGGCTTGGGTTGTAGGAGAAACTAGATACAAGTTAATCCTCAACTATCGGCCACAATTGAGCCCCAAATTTCCTTTGCTAAGCAAGGCAATTATTAAGTGAACCATTTTACTATCTTTGCCACAGTTGTTAAATAAATCTCGCTTCCCCATTGACTTACAAATAGCAACAGCAATAGCACTTAGACTTATATACCGCTTCTCAGTGCTTTACAGTCCTCTCTAAGCAGTTTACAGAGTCAGCATATTGCCCCCAACAATCTGGGTTCTTATGCTGATTACATGACCCCGGGACAGTACAACCATCATAAATGCATGCCAGTTGCCATGGGGATGCTGAAATATTTGTAATATGGTCATAAGTCATTTTTTTTCAGTGTTGTAACTTTGAATGTTCATTAAACAAATGATTGTAAGTCGAGAGCTACCTGTACAACTCTTCTGCAGAAGCACCTGCCCACATCATGCCTATCTTGTGCTATCCAGAGCAGGCTCCCTATTTTTACAGTCTTTCAAAAAAACTGGGTTCATTCCTGTGACAGAGAAGGGCTGACAATCAAGTCAGCAAATTTTATGCTGATTCAAGAACCATCATATCTCCTTTCTGCTTGAGTACCTATGGTACATCAGTTTTAGTTGCAGTGGAAAAAGTTTGCCATCTTTCACAAACTATCTATTAGAAGATTATTTTGTTGGCAAAGATTAGGACCCAACGTTTTGAAATATAAAAAGTAGAAATGAATTAGAAGTGTTGTTGAGAAGCTGAGCTAAAATAAATAGAAGCTAGATGAAATAGTGTTAGTAGTGTCTACTCCTGATTTCCCAAATGGAAGATAAGTTTACAAAATCCCCTCCAGCTGAGTTTAAAGGCTAGCAATAACATGGTCATATCCTTGCAGTGTTTGTGGTAGAAACATGGCAGCAGTTTGTCATTGCCTTCTTCCAGGATTCTTTTTTATAGTTTTCTCATTCAAAGCTATTGCCTTGAGATTTCCTGATGTTCTTGCACCCAAATACTAAGCTCAACCCTGCTTCACTTTTTCAAGGTCAGTAAGGGTTGCCCCCTGCTCTAATGTTTTCCAAAAACAAATAATAAATATTTCAGGGAGGATCTTGACATCAGTAAGGAGACAAACAGCCAAGTATGCTGCTTCGATTAATTGATGTTCCCTCTGCAAGCAAACAATCAAGCTCAGAAGGCATCAAGGACTCCATAATGGCAAACTATTGAGGCAGGCCAAACTCTACATTTTTTATATATTCAGGAAACGCAAAATGCTTGCACTAAAAAAAACATGTAAGTTATATTTTCTCTGTGCGCAAAACGCTGTTTATATTATGGGTAAAATACAGCTCTTTTTCTCCATTTTCCACAGAACAATTATGATTGCAGAATACAAATACTGTATACCTATAACTATCAACCACTGCTTTTCACACTTTTAAAAGCTTCCCCTAGAAATAGCAATAGCACTTATACACTGCTTCACAGTGGTTTACAGCCCTCTCAAGTGATTTACTGAGTCAGCATATTGCCCCCAACAATCCTGGTCCTCATTTTACCGAGTTCAGAAAGATGGAAGGCTGAGTCAACCTTGAGCTGGGCAGGATTGAAGTCCTGGCAATTCGCAGAGTTATCCTGCAATACTTCATTCTAACCACTGCACCAAAACAGAGGATGTGGAGAGTGAGTGTAAAAGTCTTCGTGTAGCAACTTCAATTGTGTAATAGAATGTTGCAAGGATGCAGATTCCAAAGAGGAAGGAGTAAGAGGCAACTCGGCCTATATGTATGCAAAATAAAGAGGATGAAGACAACCCTTCCCTAACGTTAACAGAATATACTGTAGATCAGTGTTTCTTAACTTTGGCCACTTGAAGACCACTGGACTTCAGCTCCCAGAATTCCCCAGCCAGCCCTGCTGTAGATAGAAAAACCTCAAAAAAATTACCTGACAAATTGGGACGAGCAACACAGTCACTAAGTGGAAAATCGCATAACTCTGCTAATGATTTTCCTTCAGCTTTGTTTTAGAGCATCAGAACAATAGGAGCCCAAACAACAGAAAAGATTTCTGGAACTCCAGTCATGAGGAAACTGTGTAAAAGAGCAAAACTTAATAGCCCTATCCCCCCTCCCACCTCCACAGTGCTTATCCTTGTGCTGGGGTAATTAGCAAGAAGAAAATTGATGTTTGCGTTTCCACTCATCATAGAAGAATGGAATACAAGAGGGTAAGCTGGTACGCTATGAGGAATACACAATGAAAGCAATTTGTTTGCCTAGAGGCAAATAAAAGCCTTTACAGCTGCGGCCCCCAATCTTTTGGGCACCAGGAACCAGTTCCGTGGAGAGAGGTTTTTCCGAAGACAGAGGGGGCGTGGTTTTGCATCCTACCTACATCCCATGGATGGGGCTTTCCTCATTTGTGCGGCCACAGCACACCACAGTCTGGTGTCGGTCCACAAGATCCGAGGGGTTGGGGACCCCTGCTTTACAGTACTGCAGTGTGAAACTAATAAAACTCTTAGCAATTACAGGCAGCAGCTGCAAACTTGCTAATTGAGGTCATAGAACTGAGCTTGCTAACTTGCAGTTAGCACTTTTGAGGGAAGTGCTGCATTGCAGAGAACAACAGCTCAGCAAGAGATACTTTATTTAAGCAGTCTCTTCACTCTGCAGGGAAAGGGGTGGGGAAAACCCGAGTTAGGTACAGGATAATGCATACTGTCTGATTGTAATGGCAAATATAGACACTGTGAAGGTTGCAAATGCAAGCATTGTCACAAAATTGACTTTTCATCAACCTCATAACTTTGAATGGTTGCTACCTGAGTCAATTACTAAGCAAGGTCTACCTGTATTCCATCTTCCTTCTCTCTGCTACTATAGTTTTACACCTTGTTATCTTGCAAGATCACGTATCTCCAATGAATTTGTCAATCCCATGAGATACACGGGTATGCTCTGGTTCCTTTCCATAAAACAATGTAATCTGGTGGGACCCAGGAGTTGTACTTTCTGTGTCATGGCACCTACCCTCTGGAACAACTTACCTTCCTCTCCCCAAGATTAAAATAGCCCTGACCTTGAAGATCTGGCTTCCACCACCCTGTGTTAAGGCAGGATGATGGATAAACCTATGGTTTGGTATGGAATAATTGTGAATGGGCCTCAGCAGTGTCATGCTCCTAGAATTACAATTGTCAGCTGAGCAGCCATATACATTGATTGACTGATTAAATATTTTTAATATTTAAACATCTTAAACCACAGAAAAGGATAGTACTGTCAAACCAAAAATTGTCTGGTAGCAAATTTGTGTTACTTAGGCTGTAGATATATATACATATACACATACATACACATTGTAGTATTACTTGCACTATTTGTAAATTCATATTCTTGTATGTCTAGAATCCTGTATGTTCATGCAGGAAAAATGATATAGATTAGGATGATGCCCAAACTGAAACCTAAGGATTTCTGATGTTTTGTTCTAAAGAGAAGTGTTTTGGGATGAGCAGAGAAGAAAACTAAGGACATTGATGGCCAAGGGGAAGAAAGAGAATGAAAAAAAATGAAAAAGAGAAAAAGATGAACAAGCTGATGAGCTTTGTTGCAGTAGAAGATAATTGGTGACTGAGGAGAGGAAAGGAAGGTTCCTGGGTAGAGGGGATAGAGGCTATCAGGCTGGTAGAGCAGTGGTGGGATTCAAATTTTTTTACTACCGGTTCTGTGGGCATAGCTTGGTAGGCATGGCAGGGGAAGGATACTGTAGAATCTCCACTCCCTCCCCACTCCAGGGGAAGGATACTGTAAAATCTCCGTTCCCTCCCCACTCCAGGGAAGGTTACTGAAAAATCCCCATTTCCTCCCGATCAGCTGGGACTCAGGAGGCAAATAATAGATGGGGGCGGGGCCAGTCAGAGGTGGTATTTACCGGTTCCCCGAACTACTCAAAATTTCCGTTATCGGTTCTCCAGAATTGGTTAGAACCTCTGTGGTAGAGAATATCATATTTGGAACTATGAAGGGAAAAGGTTGACATGCACCAGCCATGACCTATTCATTAAGGATTCTGTTTTATCCCAAACCCTAAATAAGCATTCTGGGTTTCTGTTCTGCTGAACTGTGACTGACCTCGAATCATTTGACAGAACCAATGAAATACAGTGTTTTGTTCTAGGTTTGAAACGAATTTTCCCTAATTCAGCACACCCATATCCAGGAGCAATTTACATCCAAGCATGTCTTTAACTACATCCTTAAACCAATTGAGCCATGGCTTCAATTCCACAATAGTTGTGACTTTGCTGCCTGGAAGGAAAATCCTGTCCTCCTTAGATGGACAGGGAAAAAGAGTAGCTTCCTTTACATTGTTTGGGATGTTTTTATGTGTAGAGCGGATCAGCATAAGACAACCAATCCCTTGTCATGTAAAGCATATGCTGAAACAGCACAACAAACATTCTCATATAATAAAGTTTATTATCACCAGCAGGTGCAATTCTTTCAATGCCGAAATCCAAGGACAAACCTCTGTTCAGTGCTTACACAAACACACACACCAGGTATGCCGCCCTTAACTTAAACATTCAAGCTTGCCTTGTATGAAATACCTTTAAATATTACCTTTCCAACACAGTTCTCCTCCCTGAATTTTACCCATGGATAGACTTCATTAAAACCATGTTGTAACTGAGAGTGTGAACTTTTAAATCCTTCAAAAGATATGGGACCTTGAAAGGCAGTCCATTAGCTAGAAATTCCTGAGTTACGGCTGTTCATTACAAGGTGAACTTCTTTCTAGTTTGTGAATAAGATGAAAGGTAGGAAGAACTGCTAGTAAAGAACAAGGGAAGATTAAGCTGATAATTGTTGTAACATCTAGGATCTGGGTACAAAATAGATTTTTCTGAGTGGGCGAGCTGCCTAAATAATCAGTGCTTAGCTTTCCCACGTAATAAGAGAATGCAGTGTATTTTCCCACTTCTGAGTTATCTATATATACCATGTTTCCTCGAAAATAAGACCCAATCTTATTTTCTTTTCAGCCCCAAAATAAGCACCACCTCTTATTTTCAGGAGATGTCTTACCCACTTACCTTAAGACTACTGCAGCCATGCCTCCCATGCCCTGATACCTGTTGTGCCGCTGCCTGACTTCTTTTGTAGCTGATTCTGGCCGCTTGCAGCCAGACATCATGTGATGCATCATGCAGATGCCAATACTCGCGGCCGGACACCACATGGGTCGTTGTGCCAGTGCTGGTGGCAGGAGGCTGCGTGGTGCGTTGTGCAGTAAATTATTTCTATGAGGTTCATTACCAAAAAAGTGGGTACCAATGTAAGGTCCTGGAAACCATAAAAGGAAGCACATTTTGCACAAGATTTGCAACTTGGTAATCTTAAAGGTAA